ATATAACATTAAAGTGTGCACCTAACACATACATATGTGTTAGTTTTTCTTTTGTTTAACTTTATTTTTTATCTTTCTTCTTTTTTCTGTGTTGTAAACTATGTGTGTGAGAAACCCGCTCGTACACAATACTGTCTAATCATTAAGTTCTAGATAAATGGGAAGACTGGTCGCCACGATACAGGGAATCCTAATGTGGATCCCAGTAATACTGTTTGAAATTATAAAATAATAAAATATGAGACTTATAAAATAAGTAACTAAGTCAGTATTTGTATATTTTTTTGAACTAAATAAATGTTTCTTATTTCTTAATTCTATCACACAGGAAAACTCCGAGCATAAACCGCCCCATAACTCGCTGGGCGTGAAGTGAAGGACACAACACGGTTCATGTTTATGATACATTATAGCTGTAAAATTAATGTTGCAATTTTTTGAATAAAAATATTTTTACGGATTTTATCGCGTTTAATTAACTTATTTTATATTCCCGACGTTTCGGTTGCTTTCCAGCAACCGTGGTCACGGGGGACTGAGGTGATTGACGTCCGGAGTACCTTCAGCTTTTTTAATTAATATTTTTGGTCCGATCTACGCAGAACGAACAAACTGTGTCTTGAAGTCTTGCAGTGGATGGTTGGGTTTAGTTTTAATTTTATGAATTACAGGATCCCAAGCAGGTGGTAGTACCCAGCCCAGTTTTTTAATTTCAATAGCCTCACGTATTATCCTTGGCAGGAATTGATGTTCTTTCGCGAGAATTTGTGGTTTATCAAATCGAATGTAATGGCGGGGGCCGTCTAGGATATGATCACAAACTGCAGACTTCCCGGAACGTTGGTGCTTCACGTCAGCTATGTGTTCAATGTGTTTGCAATTTTTTTTAAATATATAAGATCGTTGTCAAACTAGGATTATTCCTGTATTGTGGAGGGAGTTCACAAACATGAATTGCACAAGCACAAACATCCAGATCCGATATAATTACTTCTAGGCCATACAAATAGTGCGCCGTGGTAGCTCAGGGGCTGGGCGCTACCTGTAAATTTTACAATACACAAGCATCCCGGGTTCGATCCCCGTCAGCGCCAATTAAATTGTTAATTACAATCTTAAGTGCTGATTTACCACCTGCTCGGTGGTAAAGGAAAACATCGTGAGGAAACCTGCATGTCTGAGAAATAAGAAAAAAATAGTTCGAAGACAGGTGAAGTGAAGTTCTCCGATACACTTTGGGCCAGCGCGGCGGACATTTCATTGCCCTAAAACCCTCTCGGAAATGAGAGGAGGCCTGTGCTCAGTAGTGGGACGTATATAGGCATGTAACTCACGAAGCAAAATGTAACTTTATCATACACATAGTTGTTTCGTGCAGTATTCAAACCCGTGGGCTTCAGCGTCGTAACTCATTGTTAAGTCACTGTGCCAAGGAGCCGTCAATTTAACTGAAATATTAAAAATAATTGACATCACTGTGAACGGTTAACGAAAATCTAAAAAACGGCTAATCCCTTTTTTTAGATTTTCGTTCGATAAAATTTAAACATTGACTTCTGTTGATAACAACATAATTAATTATAATTTAGCCAAAACGCCACTACAAGCGATGTGATTGAGCCAGTATAAGTTTTTGCTAAAAATTAATTATGATAACAACATAATTAATTATAATTTAGCCAAAACGCCACTACAAGCGATGTGATTAAGCCAGTATAAGTTTTTGCTAAAACATTAAATTTTCCCTGTTCGTAAAGCTCTCCTTTGTCACATCTGTTTAGCATTAGCAAATAGTGTCGAAACAACGGTATGCGTTATCTGTAAGCGCCACAGATAACTTACACGTGGCGTGGTAAAGACGTCATTACAGGCTTAGTACACCTCGCCATTGTTTCTAAACAGACATCTGTTTGCGATACATTACCTTTAGTTGATTGTTTTTGTTTAAATCAACAAAAGAATTACCTGACAATGAGAATAATAGAAATGGGCTTTAATTTTTTTTAATACAATTCCTTTATAACACCTGTATTTTAATATGCACTGTGATTGAATATAATAAGAATGTAATCTATATTGTGATTGTGAATTTCATCTCGTGGGATATTATAGAAACAGATTTTTTTTATTCAATATAATATTAATAATAATAATAATAAATCTTTATTGACATTTTTATAGTTTACATACTTTTTACAAATATATGCAATACATCAAAAGGACTAATTTGAAAATGGGTAGAATCCTGAGTCTCCTAGCTAGGTTACTTAGTAACCTGTATTTAGGAGATACAGACCTATCCCCCCTTTTATAGGAATAGATTATATAGATTATAAGTAATACTTATTGAAAGTCACTCTTTTGTTTAATTACCACTGGTTCGAGAAAAAGAAACCTCTGTCCTGGAAAGAACCAACAAGAAACCCAGCGGGCCCTTTTTTTAAATAACAGCTTACAATTATGTATGTTACACAATTAAATAGCTTGGTAGCGATCACGGCTTAGCTTTCCATTGACTCCCGTCGAGTTGGGGGTTGATACGTATTTTCACAGAAAAGTTACACTATTATAAGCACACACACAAAGTTACAACATGCGGAAACCACCATTTTTTTATTGTTATTGTCAGTAGGGATGTCGATTTTTTCCGAAAGAGATCGATTTTTTAAATAGATTCGAATTGTAAGCTGATGTATCGATTCCCAAAAATCGATTTCTAAAATATCTATATTTTTTTCATGTTTGCATTTATAATGTAAATATAAATCCGATAATTTCGAAAAATAAGTCCCGCTGGGTTTTTGCTGGTTCTTCCCAGGACAGAGGTATTTTCCGAACCAGTGAGAAATTAAACATAAGAGTGACTTCCAATAAGTATTATTATAATCTGTATTGGATAAACAGTTAGTATTTCTATTTGAAAATGTTACCTAAACCATATTGTTAGAAAAACGTTAAAAAATTCTTGGAATTCGATAGGCGGCTGTATAAGAATACCCACTACCACATACCGTAGGTTTTATAAGAAATAGCGCAAGCCTGTGACGAGACAACGTGACTAGATGTTACAACAAACGTGCGTTATCATTCGTTATGTTACAACAAACGTGCGTTATCATTCGTTATTCATATCTACCGGAGTTAAGAGCTCCGGGTGGCGCTTATTTATTAATGGGTTTTTAGTAATAAGTTGTCGTAATCCGGTAGGTTTTGCGAAAAGCAGATTCATGCGAAAGTAACCTAACTTCCGGGAACGCGCCGTGAGTAATTTATATCCGGATTGTTTGTGGGTGACACAGCAATCGATTATTTGTTTTTTTTTAATCTGAAGAGACAAAGGAACCTACACTCCACCTGACGCTGACAACTGTCACTACGGCATCATTAAGCTGCCATTTTACGCTGGTATTCGGTGACAGCGTGGTCCTAACCTAGCCGTTACTTTTTTAATTTAGCCATGTTTATTTCTTGAGTGTCGAATGAGCACACAGTTCACCTGATAGTGTGAATGCTTGTGGCCAATAGATACCGGCATCTTTCCTCAATTAAGAATCAAAAGTAGATGTGTAGTCACCTCCGAGAACTAAGATTGAATGTTTCAGAGCCTGTAATCATATCGGCTTTCTACTCCTTTCATACCGGATCGCTGCAGCGCTTGCACTGCTATTTCGCGACAGAAATAGGTAAGAGAGTGGCTGTTGCAAGGCGACACCGCGAAAAAATGCACCTCCTTTCATGGAATAGTATAGGAGTATGACACGACTAACGAAACTGGAATTTTGATATAGGTAAATTCATGTCTTTATCTTAAGTTTGCTTGCTCAAAAACACGATTGTAAAATTTTGACTCGATCATAATAATTTGCGAAAACACCTCTCAAAAATCACTATAGTTGAAATTACAACGAAATTACTTAATCTATATGCTTGGAAACCACTCGAATACATTCATAACATCAATATTCATAATTTACTTGCTCATTATTTTGATTACTAAAATCAATAATTTTTTAAAAATATTTTAAGATTCTACGCGATTTCTAAGCGGTTTTAATCGTCGCGGGCGCTACGCAATTTTAGACCTTATTACGGTGTTTTTGAAGTTTTTATAGAAATTATGTTTTACTCTGGTTAGTCCGGCGATAGCCCGCTTCAACGGTTTTCGATGTGTCGCCTTATTAAGCAGAAGAGGAGTGTCACCACCGTGTTATGTAATTTGAAAATTTTATACGTATATGTTATTATTTCAACACGAATGGGTCAGCTTCACCGGGCTAGAACCACGTTCTCACAGATTAACAACGTGGAACAGCACAGCATAATGTCTTTGTGTTTCTTATGGTGAGTGTAGATAACCGAAGACTATTCTTACTGTTAACAAGACATTCAATTTGAGTGCTTAGAGGTGACAACGTATCTACTTTTGATGCTTAATCGAGGAAAGATGCCGGTATCTATTGGCCACAGCATTTACCATCAGGTGAACTGTGCGCTCACTTGTAACCGTAATTTCCGCAAAAATTCAAGAAATATACATAGCTAAATTAAAAACAAGTACCAGCTAGGTTAGGACCGCGCTCTCACCGAATAACAGCGTAAATAGCAGTTTAATGATGCTGTGTTTCGTATGGTGAGTGTAGAGAACCAGAGATGCTTTACTGAACATGAGAAAAAGATAATAATGTACCTGTATTTTGATTCGTAATTGAGGATAGATGTAAATGTTTATGGGCTTCCACTAACCATCAAGTGCACTGTGTGCTCGTTTGTCTACCTCATTCTATAAAAAAAATGAATTTTCCAGTTCATACTAATTTAACGTGTGGGGAAGTTTCAGACATATGGCCCAAAGCTTTCCAGCCTTAATCGTGAATTTCTGATATTTTAGGTATTTTCGACTTCCGCAATCAGAGACACTGAAAAGGAAGTTACCATTAAAGAGTTTGTGCCTCACTAGTCGCAAGTTATATCAGATGATTCAGCTCATTGTTTGTGCGTACCTGAGCCGTTCGCTTGATGGCCGTCTGATTGCTTGATTGCTTGCGCCGTGACCACACATCCTTATCAGCGTGGCACGAGTCATTGATACAGGAACACGCCACTTTGCCCCGTGCGTAATATCGCGCTCGTTCCGTCATCGCCGGGATAATGAAGTGCGATGTTCCGGTGTTTTGTTATTGATATAGAGGTTGAGGTTGTAATATTGCGTATACTTAATAAAATTAATAGAATCTTCTACCCCATATTATACCGTGTGTATCGTAAGAGGCAACAGAAAAACTGAAACAAAAGGTATAATATTATATACATATATATTATAGATACATATTTTTGAAAATAACTCAAAACAATACAACTCTGCTGTTGACATCTCACTTTCCAACCGGAGCAACTATGAAAATATAACCTCTAATATGCAATATATGATCTACGGGACATCCATTTGTTCGGCATTGGACTTTTGACAGACATTAATGATGTAAATGATTATTTCACTTTAAGACTATGAAAGTGTGACTTTGAAGTTGTACCAGGTTCAATAAGAAATTGACGGCAGCGTGGTGCCGTGTCTTAGTACACTGGTTGCACGGAACAAGTCTACAAATAATTGTTCCGGCTCTGGATGTGTGTCTTTATGTAATATATGTATGTAAGTTTCCTTTTCGATAAAGTAAAAATCCCAGTAGGGTATATCCCAAATACTTAGTTTTTTTTTTCAAAAAAAATCCCTGGGTTCGATTTCCGCTAGCACTAATAACAGAATTATAGGATAGGGTGACAAACGAGGACACAGTCAAATTGATGGTAAGTGGTTGCTGTGACCCATAGACATCTCCATCTATCCACCCGTGATGACTAAGATGGAACGCCTTCTTTGCAGTAAAAAGGGTTTCCGGTTCTCTAAACTCACCATACGAAACACAGCAGTGTTAAGCTGCTATTTTACGCTGGTAATCTGTGAGAGCGTGGTCCTTCCCCGGTCGAGTTGACTATTCGTGCTACAACTATATACTACTAATATAGCTGCAGCATGGCTCCGCTACGGTTTAAATTACAATTTAAAGCGCTGATTTAATTTGTGCTCGGTGGTGAATGAAAACGTACATGGAATAAAACTAGCTCGAAACTTGAAATGCCTCGTGTAGAGGCGAAACACGTGTCGTATTGTCGTCAGTGGTGTGTCTTTCCTAGTGTAGTGGTGCTGGGATTAGTGGTGACGGGGATTGTGCACGCAATTGAGGTAAGGCGGGAGGTGCTCTGCAAACTAGGTACGACATATCATTTTATTTTATCGAGCGGATGTACGCAAGGTAAGTTTTACCAACTTTAATTTGTGAAATCCGCCGATACGTACTAGCGTAGTGCAGCGGTCTAATATTGTTCTGTAACTTTCTCAGAAATATTAGCAGGTCTACGCCCAACAGGGAAACGTTTATAGGCTGCATCCTTACCTTACTTTTAACTTTCATTTTTTTTTCTGAACTACGTATCCATTACGTTTAACTATTTGTTTTATGAATAATAATTAGAGTACGTCACAACGACGGTTTAAACGGTTTAAAGTTGGTATTGATTTTTTTTTTAAGTTTACATTTTATTTTAAAACACAGAACAATACTTGAAAACAGGTAGACACTCCATATTCTTGTAATTTTCCTGTTTAAAGTATTTATTATACGATGAATCACAAGGCCGTACCTGTTGCATTCCAATGCATATTTTCGCCGGCTTTAAAGATAATTAGTCATGTGTGAGACAAGTTAAATCGGTTACTAATATAAATTAAAATAACGTTCAAAAATTAGGTTTAATTTATTTAGAATTTTTCATTTATCATTGGATTGCATACATCTCTTTTTTAATAAAGTTTGCATGCTATTATATGCTGCTGTGTTTCCTATGGTGAGTGTAGAGAACCGGATACCCTATTTATTGGAAACGAGGCATTCCATTTTAGCCCCCAGGGGTGTCAATGAATCTGAATTTTGATTCTTAAACGAGGATAGAAATTTAGATATTTATTGGTTATAGCATACCATCAGGTAACCTGTGTGCTCGATTGTTATATTTATTATATATAAAAAAGTTTAGTGTACTATATTGGTAATCTCATGTCGGTTTGGGACATATAGGTCCCATGTTTATGTGGGAGTTTATATAATATATATGCCATCATTACGTTTACCTGCTTAGTATATTGAAAAGAAAGCAGCAGACGTCGTAAAAAGCATCTAATGGGATGATTGATTGTGAAGGCGATGCGCTGGCCACCTATCACTTCTTTCAGAATTTTCTATCTAAAACCATATTTTTAGGCTAAATTTAGTCTGAATAGCTCACTGCACAACACTGCGAATAGTCCAAAATTCTACCTTCTCCTTCGGGGATTACAGGCGTGACCCTATGTATTATGGATGTGTATATATGTACATATGTACGCTATGACTGCAGTGATAAATTTCGAATACTTACGGAAACTGAGAGCTGTGGTAAATTGAGGTCAAAGAGCTGGCCGCAAATTTTATTGTACGTAAACAATCCGAGTTCTATTGAGCACTAATTTGCCGCGTAAAGGCGGCGTAAGATAAATCACTATTCCGTATCCTTTTGATTACAGTTCTATAAAAAATCCGGTTGTTAATCTGCCAAGCGTGGCAACTATGGTAAATGAGGTAATGTCATCAGTGGTATTGTGATAGGCTGTAATGTGTGAAAATACCACCTGTTCGACGGTGAAGGAAATCGTCGCGAAAAACATTTTCGTACGTGGTATAGCCACGGATTAGTAAGCTGAAGTGGCAGTGGGCCGGCCATATAGCTCGAAGAACCGCACAACCGATGGGGAAGAAAGGTTCTTGAGTGGCAGCCTCGTACCGGTAGGCAAAGTGTAGGGCGACCCCCCACGAGATGGAGTGACGACCTGCAGGAAGTCGATGGATGCAGGTGGCTCAGGACCGTATATATATATATATATATATATATATATATATATATATATATATAAATCAATTGCTGTCCGTTAGTCTTGTTAAAACTCAAAAACGGCAGGACCGATTGTGATGGAATAGATTTAGAATTGGGTGCTATAGATTTTGCTGTTGTAAAGATCCAAGAATCACCCGTACGAAACCTGGGCGGTTCTCTCGTATTCTATGATTGTTCTGATGACAATCGACTAGAAACCATTATCATCATATTAAAAAAAAGATATAAAATAAAGTTAATTTGTGTTTATTTTGCAATTTATTTATGATTAATCAATTTTGAATCCGAAGTCGAACATCCGCATCGCGTTTTACTTCGTGATCAATGGAGTGACTCAGAGCGACATAATAAAATTTCGCAAAAACACTCACTATGTTTCCTGCGCTATCCACTTGGCAACTGTCAAGAAGACGGCTACCATTGTTTTGACTGTATTAAAATGTATTAGTTATCGCAATAAGAATAGTGCGTACTATTTAATTGCTTTCATCTTTGCACTTGACATCATTAATATCAAATTATAGTATTAAAATAATGATTTGAAAATTATTTTTACCACCCACAGAAATACGAAAAAAACTCTCTTCCTTTATGGAGCCAACATAAATTGAAATCCGACCCTAAAATAAAAATAACCCACATGAAACCAAATATTATTTTAAAGTTATTCATATAATAACTTTTCTTTCATTTCCATTTACTTCATATCCTTTTTTTAATAATTTATTTTTAATTTTTTTCTTTCGCGGTCGAATAAATTAAATGTCTAAATACGACAAGCTAAGAAACTTAACAAAAGTCACACAAAGTCCACACAGTATTTTTAATAGGAAGTTTCCATTTTAATTTATATATTTTATATTTTTATACGTGGTAGAGCCATGCTGCAGTTGTATTGGTAGTATAGTTGTAGCATGGATGGGTCGGCTCGACCGGGGAAGGACCACGCTCTCACAGAATACCAGCGTAAAATGGCACCTTGACACTGCTGTGTTTCGTATGGTGAGTGTAGAGAACCGGAGACCCTTTTTACTGGAAAAGAGGCGTTCCATCTTAGTCCTCACGGGTGATAACGCATCTGCATTTTGATTCGCAAACGAGGGTAGATGTAGATGTCTATGTGCCACAGCAGCTACTTACCATCAGGTGGACTGTGTCCTCGTTTGTCACCTTATCCTAAAAAAAATGTAATTAATGAGTGAATGATTTTTTTCACACGACATAAGTATCAAAATATTTTTAAACACAGATCATTGTCTTGTTTTGTATTTAAAGTTCAAATCGATACTTACACGACCCTTGGTAATACAATCCTTTGTGGTCAGAGTAACCATGGACTGATGAATTTGAGTCGTACAGTAAAATGAACCTTGTTAACATTACTATACGGTATATTTTGTATGGTTGTTAGTACTCTGTGTATTACTAACGAAATTTCAGTTACACTTTTGACCTTACTGGGAAAGTTAAACAAATGCGTATATCAACTATATTTCTTCTTCTGAGACTGGAACCCGTTCACTGTTAAAATTGGACCTTTTTGAGAGCTTAGATTTGCCGTAATCTTAATAATAATGATGCTTAGAGCAGGGGTGTGATCACAATAAGTTAACGCAAAAAGAAATGATAAACAAGTCCAAAAGTTAAAACAGTAATTAAAGAAACCGGGCTGTGTAAAAAAGTTTACTGAAAGGAGGAAAAGTTTTATATCCTACTACTGGCTGGTACATAGCGCGTTGCTGCCGCAGAAAAAAATATGGAAATATCGTTTCAAATTTGGAAGACTTACCTCTTTCTACCGACTTCAAAAAGGAACCAGTACTCAATTCGACTGTATGTTTTTTTTAATGTGTGTTACCTCATAACTTTTTACTGGGAAAACCGATTTCGATGATTCTTGGTGCTTCACTTGTGGTCCCATATAATTTTGATCAAGGCCTGAGCAATGGTCTCTGAGATATTTTTAATAATTTATATTGAAGTCGGTTGTACAACATTTTTAATTTTAAATTATTTTTATAGAACGTGCGTGACAAACGAGCATATAGTACACCTGACGATGACGAGAGAACCGGAGACCCTTTTTACTGGAAAAGAGGCATTCTATCTTAGTCCTCACGGCTGACAACGCATCTGTATTTTAATTCGCAAA